CAACTGTAATTTAATGCAAAGCTTCTAAATATCCCACCAGATGTGACTTTTTTGCCTCATTTTTGGGTTACCAACTCATCATTAAAAAAGGAAGTCTGCAGTGATGCAGGGGTAAAGCGCATGATCCATGTGCTTTACCCTGAGGCCGTCTAGAGGTCTCACAGACGACTGAGGCCTCTATGCGGTCATCACAGTTTTGAGTGCCGGCTTGTTGACCTTTGCCGCATATCCTCCCCTTCTCTCACAGCCCACTTCCATACTGACACGTTGTCAAATAAAGCCCACTAGAGTCAAAGAATCCTTGAAAAATGAATGAATTAGTAAAAATAATAAAGTAAGTCTTCTCATCTAGAAAACCTAAAACTTGCTAGTGGTGGCTCATAGCTATGAAAATCTAATTTGCTTGTCAAGAATTTGATTATTTTGAGTTGAACTGGCCCTAAATTATTTTAAAATTCACAATACCAATTGTTACCTCATTGCCAACATCTCATGCCAGCAACAACAAAATCTGTTGCTGAGGGACAAACATTCAGAATCAGCAGCGGGCACCACTAATTAAAACGTTAATTGTATTAACCCTAAAAAAATAATGTTCACCATTTACCAATGGTGGTAATTGTTCACCATTGGTAAACAATTACCAAGTTAGCAAAAATACTAAAGAGAAAAAAATAGCTTTGCATAAGAATATCAAAAGCTGCAAGCTTTAAAACAAGTATTTTCAAGGGTCATCATGTCAGCTGCTCATCCGCTTTGAGCTGATTTGGAGATGTTGGCAGCTTTTAGAAAATATCTAAGTTAAGGTAAATTCACGACAACATTGTTTCATGTCTTGAAACAAGGACGATCAATGATAATGCACTAGCATTTCCAAAAAATCTGAAAATATTAATGACTAATATTACAACACAGATTAATAGACTTACCTATGCACATACTCTCTTGGCATGTACGAGCTCACATTTTCACATGCACCAATTATGCCTGTTGCCTGAATGAGAAACTGACAGACTGTATTACCCATCAGGTAATTGTTCGCATTTTAAAACATGTGTGCATAGTTAAGTTTCAATATAACAAATCTTGTTATTACAACACATTTTGACATAGCAAGGTTTGTTGCCGAGATCTAAATGTAGGACTTTAATTTGGAGATGAAAGTTAAAAAGTGCACCCAAAAAGTTACATATTTTTTAAGTTGAGTTATCAGAAAGTAATTTAAGAAATTCTAAATTTTTGAATCTGTGCTGGAATAAAATACATATTTTCATAATTATTGCAAAGAGTTTTATGCCTTTGTTGCTTCTATTGTTTCAAAGAATCTCAAAAAAGAGAATTTGTTTTAAAGGACTTAAGATCCAATTTATTGGCAGTGGAAAAGTAGGTTACTTTTTTCTTTTGGTGGCAACTGAAATATTGAAATTACATGCATTGTGAAAGTTGCTCTCATGAATCCTGCATGTGGGCTGATTATTACCATTATAATGGGCATTCCTGGCAAATGATCTCAAGTGATACCTTGTCAGAGCCGCTTTTTAAACTATTTAAATTGTTTCCCTTGGAGGACAAGTGAAACTCAGTTTGATGTGTGAAATATTTCATGTTCCCAGGAACGCAAAAGCAGTCTCATATTTTCTCACAATTTTTGTCATCAAAGCAGTTGTTGAAACATGCTCACAAAAAATGCAACTACCAACTGTTGTCTATCATTCACCGACTGTAAGTCCAAGCTTATTATGATACACATGCATTGTACACACACACATAATATGCTTCAGCGAGTCTCTGAAAGGTGCAGGGTGTGACTCATTCATTGCTGTGTATGAGTCACGAGTGTTATAGAAGGTCACAGCCAATAAGGTGTCACTAGCAGTTAATAACACAATCAGCTTGTGCTAGCATGTCGAGGAGGGGTGTGTTGATCTGCTATTGTTTAAAATTTGGTTATGCATTTCACTAGTTTCATTATAGTATTTCTATGGTCTGATTTTGGGACATTTCTATTTTAGATTTATCTTGCACTGAAAATATAAACCAATTTGCTTATATTGAAATAAATATTCTTTACTTCTTTACCAAATATTCTTTACCTTTGATGAATCAGTAAATAAAAAATATATATTAATATAGATTATTATCTTTTAGGAAACATATCCTATATAAAACACATTTATTAATTTAATTAAAATAATTTCAGATCTAACTCTGCCAAAGGTATGAATAAAACAGTATTTACCATAAAACAATAGTGTGTTTTATGGTAAATGTTTTGACAGCCATTTTTCTCTTCTGTTCCCTATAGATTATTTTTACTATTCTGTCTTTCTTGAAGTTTCATCAGCCAATGACCTTAATAAAGACTTGTATTTTAAATCATTTGTAGAGAATCAGATGACATCAATAATAGATTATTTTTACCGTCTTTTACCAAAACCATATTTTTCCATTTTGGAGTAGGAGTCCTTGTTTGCAGATTTGCATATTGTTAGACTTCCCAGTGAAATTCAAACTAGATTTAAATATAAACTTTTCTACCTCTTTTAGATACAGATTTGATCAAACTTTAAGGCCCGTTAAAAATGGCAGTAATTTACATTTTTCACTGTTAGATCTAAAAAAGATTCTAAATACAACTCAACAATTCAGCTGTTTCAACGACAGAAAGCTTTCTTGTTACTCCCAGTAAAGGGTCATGACATTGTGGATACTTGAGAGAATATAACACTAAGTCCACATTTTTGCAAAGATTTGGCCTTTTGAATAGATTTAAACTTTTGATCAGGTGATGAACAGCCTATTTCAGTTTAATGGTGGTTTGCAATAAATTGCTCCCTCACATTTCTTCGTTTTATATTGTGAAGCTATATCTTAGAATCTTCTGTAGTTTCAAAAATTTGAATTCTTCCCATTTTTCAACTGGTATTAAAATATGTGAGTAGGAGTGCATATTCTGAAAGCAAGTGATTTTTCCTTCCAGCGCAAGCTTTTTTGTGGATGCGTGCAGCAATTTATCCTTTGAAGCTCTAAAGCCCTATCATCCTCTGACTGAAGAATAATTCTAAGAAAGAGAGGGAGAATTAGTTAGCAAACTATTTCATCAAGTCTTTTGAAAATATCTCAATTCTCCTGAGATGCCAGAGTAATGAAAGGTTAGAATTTCTTTTTTCATACACTTTTCTCCTGGATCCATATCATCTTACATAACTGGAAGCACCTGTCAAATGACGTAGTTTGACAGTATTACATACTGTTGAAAGTATAAGCTTTTCTCTTTCCCATGGATCCACTTTTTTTGTTTGTTTTTACAATTTACCTTCATGTCAAACATTGTATTATTTGTAGGACAATCCTACTTTGTCAGTTAACTCTTTTAAAATAATGCTCTGTCATGTTACTGAGGTAGTGAGTATGTAAATTATTTTCTAAATTTTTATAAAAATGGAAATAAGTGCTAAACATATTGTAATTTTTTCATGTTGTTTTAGATATAAACAACGTCTTTATGAGAAGTCAAGATAGGTCATAGATTTCACCATCATTATTCTCTGGATGAGATGTTTTTCATCTTTCTTTTAGGGGATGTTTTCTCACTACATATTTATCTGGGCGTTGAAATATTTTGATTGGCTTTGTTTCATTTTCCCATGCCTTTTATTGAAATTTCAATTGGCTGTCTAACATTAGAAACATACACACAAGGTCTGCTGTTAATAACAGGCTATGATATCTGTCATTGTTATTTTATTTTAAACACAGAATATTAGTTCACAATTTCTAAAGAGTCAAAATATGCCCAGAATACCAACCCTTAAACAAAACTTGGTCTCTTGGTTTTGATCAAATACTGCACATGCATTAAACCTGCTGATCTTGTTCCATAATTGTACTTTGTATAACTTCTAAAAACTACTTTAGTATGAACCACTGTATAGGTTTTGTTGTAAGGAATTTAACAGATAACCATTAGAGCAGGTGCATAAGTCTGGTGTCAAAGATATTTGTCATCCCTCAACGCTAATTACTTTTTACATTCATTACAATCGTCTATCAACCTGGTTTTAGTCAATATGTCTTCTGTTTGAATCTCTTTTATGGTGCAATAATAGTGCATATGAATGGAGATGAGAACAACATAGCATCAAAAACGTGTTTGTGATTTCATACATTCAATGAGTTGAATTCATTACGTTTTTTGCCACTATCCCTCAGGTAGAACAAATCCCCTTATAAAGTATGGAATGATATGGCAACAAACACAAATATGATGTGTACAGAAAAGACAGTTTTTACTATTTTTGTTTAAGTAAATGTTTTTCTAGAAACAGTCTTGGACAAAAAATGGAACACATAATCCTACCCCCTAAGGCCTTTTGCCATTGTGCACCACCCATGTTGATCTACCCCAGGATATTTTGAGCTCTAGCCAACATTTACAAGACTTGATATGTCGAAGCAGAGTAGGTCATGTTTCATCTTGAAATGTTTCACAAGAAAACTAACAAACATAATTCTTTCCTTTCTGACACGCACCGTGCTAAACTTAAAGTATCATACAAGTTCCAATTTCAAAATATTATTTATTGTAAGGCTTGAGGTTGTCAATGAGGTTGACAACACCCATTTTACTGTCTCTTCCCTGCTGTTCACTTTCTTATTACTCTCGCCCTCACAATAAGAAAATTGAGTTTTGCCTGTCTTGTCTCTTCACACTAAGTCGATCATATTTTCTAAACCATTTCACTATCTTAACCTACTTAAGATAGTGTATTTTGTCCTTTCTAATTATGCATGCTTTATATTGATGTTCATATTGTAATTAATTTAAAAAAAACATTAGATTTGTTCTTTTAAATATTTGCACAATATTGGTCATTTGAATCAACATATCATAGCAAACTGTTTATTCACTAATTCTGTGAATAGTGTTGCAACTTTTTTTTAGTTTTTATGAAAATGTATCTCTTCTATGTTTTTCTTTGTATTATTTGTTTCCATAGGAAACCCAGGAGAAGTTTCCAAATCTTAATGAAATTGAGGTCTGGGAGGAAGTGGGCAGTGGGGAAGAGCAAGGAAGCACCGCAGACTGTGATGATGAAGATGGTTGCCAAAGCTCAGGAGATGGTGACGAACAAAACTGTAAGTCACATATTAAGCTGGGCGTATGCCACCTCAACGACCACATACTAATAAGAATTCTCCAATTTTTATATTCCACATGATATCCAGAGTCTGTTGAGTTAAAGTTTAAATTGTCACTATCATACTTGACTTTTTTCAACCTTCTTTTCTTGACATTATGTAATCAATCAAGACTTTACTTTGAACATAGTCAGCCCAGATATCTTTCTGAGCACCGACACAAACATGCTTATAGTGAAGAAGATGTGAGGTCAATTGCTAACTTTGAGAATATTCACTCAGTCTCCTAAAGATTTCATACTGTGTGGACTCTGGGGAGATCAGTCGTTAAAATCAAGAGATCTGGAAAAAAAAAACTAAATGCCTCAGTCATGGTATATTCACAACTTAGTTGTACTTACTGTATCCATGCAATACAATGGATACAATTCTGTTGTATCCATCCATAGATGTATCTATTGTGTCCATAGATAAATACATCTATTTATCTAGATGTATTTGTGTCCATAGATAAATACATCTGTGGACACAATAAATACATCTATGGATACAATGGCAAACAAGATGTTTTGTTATGAACAACTAAATCTTCTGATATTGATCAATTTGCCTGCTGTTACAGTTTATCCTAAATAAGCTCCACAAATCCAAGTGAAAAGTTATAAATCTGAAAAAAAATATATATTTTTTTTGAGTATCAACTTTTCTTCTCTTTGGAATGTAGTTTATTTATTTAAACTACATTCACAATATGTTTCACAATATGAAGCATGTGGATTCAATGCAGTACTTGTAGTAGGTACTCTACATATATTGAAAAATGGTAAAGCAGTGACTATTAGGGCCATTTACTGCATATTAATTTCACTCAATTTAAGAGTTGAAGATGACCCTCGGGACAAAAGTGGCCTTTCTTCTCTGGGTCCTGAAGCCTGGACAGCATAACCTGTGTCCAGATGGGATCCAGAAAAATGAACAGCATCTAAAAGAGTTAAGACAAGCGGACCTGGAGGATGGGGGTCTGTTTTTATAAAGCATGCAATGATCTCAGTGAAAGGGTTTCAGTCAAAAAGCAACACTGTTTCATGTTTTTGTAAGACTCTTAATTGGTTACTAGTGTTTCAAACTAAAATATTTTGGATGTACAAAGTGAATAGATGTTCGCTTTTAATATTAGAAATCATGTCAGAAAAGAAATCATGTTTGGTGCAATCATGTCAGAAATCATGTCTGTTGCTTGGTTAAGTTGTAAGTTACATACTCTGGGGATTTTGGCTGTGGTAGATGTCCAGGTTATAAGGAAGATTAACCATCTTCTGTCGTATTAAACAGAGGACTTCATTATAAGTTAATGAACAGCTCTAATCAGCAGAGAACAGACTTAATTTATCACCCATCACTCAGAAAGGATGGAACTGCTCCTTGCCAAATGTTATGTCTCCAGATGTGTAACCTGAATGTATAACACAAATCTCTACTGCAGCTTCCAGGTGTGATATCTACAATAACTAAATCCAGTGTGTGTGTTGGATCCAGCAGTTTACAGTTTGGAAACATTGCAGATTTCCTTAGAGAAAAGTTGAACAATTTCTAGATTTGTTAAGGAGGCCAGCAGTCGCTTGCTCTGCCATAGAGTGAATAAGATGTTCAGCCCTCAGAACATGCAGGACAAGTTTAAGAAAACAGAATGTTCATATAATTAAACTCAAGACTTCCAGTAACAAATCTCCATGAGCATGGCCTACTGTTTTTTTTTTTTCTTGAAGAAAGTGCACTCTCACTGTATTACTGTATTGCATGTTTGATCTTGGCTGTGATCTTGCTCCTCTTGCCAAGGGACATACTGGTCTACTTTCTGTGCCAGTTAAACAAGGTCTGGTCATGTACAAACTGCCATTGCAAAAAATCATGTACAAAGGGGATAAATCAGCATATCTTTAATGAACCATATTATCCCTCTTCTCTGGGGCTATGACTGCCTCCTCTGTACTACATTTTCTGGCGTGACCGAGGCTTATTAACCACATTAGCCTTGGGATCATTTATGAAGCTGCTTCCAAAAGGGCTATTCAGTAGCTCATTAACACATTAATCTCCAAAATATTTCTCTTTATCCTCTCGACCACTATCTTTCTATTAGGGAAAGGGATGCTTCAAATCTTGACAGATCAAGATGTTTTTCTGCCTTTTCTGATAGGACCAATAGTGTGGTCTGGGGTTCTAGTAGTTTTTTTTTTTTTTTTTTTTCCCTCCAGGTTTCTTCAGCAAGTTTGCAAAAAAGACAGCCAGAATCTCCCAGAGATTCCAGGCAATATACAAATAATATGTCCCCATCCACAGGGGAAAGTTTTTTCTTTTTATTTTTTCTTTTCTTTTATTTTTTTGTTTTAATGGGGGAAGTTTTTTCACCTGGAACCGTTTTTGGCGGCCCAAATATATTTATATATATAATATTTTTATGTGAAAACTTCACCCTTGCATATTCATGTGAGCAGTAAAAATGTCTTTTTTGTGAAAATGCCGATGTGTTTGTTTCTAACCTGACTTATAACCCCAAATGCTCCATATGCTACAGAGCACAATGGCAGATAATATGTTTGTGGTGAGCTTTTTGCAGCACCTACAAAAGCTTCTACAAAAGCAAAACTTGAATAGAAAGACATATTATCAAAATTTTGAACAGGAAAATATTATACTTGCTGTGAATGTTTTGGAATTAAGCCTACTTTACAGAAATGTTGGCTTGTTTACACATTAACCTATGTTTCCCCCAGGCATTGCATTTGCACAAATCCTGGTCTTAGTTATTCAGACATATGCTCCCCTCGATCGACTTCCTCCAGATGGCGTATTAAAAAAGGAAAAGAAGAAAGAACAGAGCTGTGATGCACATGCCAAAATGCTACAGATAAGCAGAATGGCAGACAACCAGAGATAACAGATCTATTAGAAATTTCATAAACTAAAATGATGTCCTACCCAAGATACATTTACTTATCTGAATAAATGTTTCATAAGTTTTATGTCAATACTATAGGACTTGTGTGGGGTTTGAGAAGTCTTTTGAACAAGTATGTAAATGGCAAAGCTGGTTATGCATCACATAAGAGGAAAGGAAGTAAACAGGGGACTGAACTTAAGATTTATGCTCTGCATTATTATATGAATCAGTCAACCTTGAAAACACCATTTTCCTTTGGTAACTAGCAACATCTGCCAGGACAGTCTGTTTATGATGAAATTGAATAGCAAGAAAATGCACATATTAATGGAAGGTGATACATCTGAAAAGCAACAAAGGACAATGCATGCGTTCTAGTAATTAATTAGTTTCTGTGTCAACCCCTTACTAATACACATGTGAATTCAGATACACTTAATACTGTCTGAAGACAAATTAGCAAAGTATTTGATACAAAGTATTCATTCTATATTTTGACATTTTACAGCCAGAAATGTTGCTAAATTACTCGTATTTACACAAAATAAAGCTTAATGAAGTCGAAGAAAAATTATGTTGTTTTTTCGACCATGGCATGAATTCAGGGATTCAGCTTTACTCGGAGGCCCAAAAACAAAATCTGTCCAAGCAAATGTATTATAAAGCTGATTTTTAATACATATTTGATTTCAGTATAAATACAGCTGTTCTATGAAGGCCTCAGAGGTTTGCTAAACAGAAGCTGCCAAGAGGCCCAAGATAATTCAGGAAGAGCTCCAGAGATAAAGCACTCGTGGGAGAATCTGATGACAGCTCTTAGTCATATGTCAGCCACAGGACTGGCCTTTTGAAAAAGTGGTAAAAAAAAACAACAAAAAAAACAATCTTGTTGAAAAAAATGCTTTGCAAGTCATGTTTGTAATTTAAAGACACAAAAAGGAGGCACCAAACATGCAGAACACGTTCTTCTGCTCAGACGAGACCAAAACAGAACTTTTGCAAAAACACCATGTTTAATATAAAACTAAACTTGCCTTTCACAAAATAAATAAATAAATATTCAGGTGAAACATCTGGTGACAACTTCATGCTATGAGGATTACTGTGAATCCCCACAGCATGGTGATTTGATAGAAGGATGAAAGAAGCTAAATACAGGACTATAATGGAAAAAAAAGAGTTAACTACAAAAGACTTAAGGCAAAGGTAGGCTTTTATTTTTAAGCGTTTTTTTTTTTGTTGTTGTTTTTTTGTAATGCAAATGATGAAATCATGTATTTTTCCCATTTCACTCTTTCAAATAAATCAATATATTTTGTTGATCTCAGAGGGAAATTTGTTTGCGATGATCTATCACTTTAAATCCATAATAAACAACAAAGTTTGTGGTTGCAGTGATACAAAGTGAGGTAAGGCTCAAGAGGTGAATACTTTTGCAAGCCACAGTATTTATTTTATTTTGATGTCGATATCAATATTCACCATTGTGTGTGTAAAACACACAAATCCCTAAAGACGACACAGTTATTGACCAAGTCATGGAACGACTTGGTTCAACTTACACCTCTATAACAAAATAATCACAAGTTCAGAACAGCCTGGCGAAAACAAGAACACATCTGCCTTTTGTTTTAGAAAAGTTACAACAGAAAGTGGAGATTAGGTTGGAAGTACCCAGTGTCACAGCCATACATAAGGTGGAGATAAAAACATCACAGACGTGCAAACAATGCAGAACTAATACCATACAGCTTTTTGACTTGATACCACATCAAAATAAGCAATTCTGAAAAGAAGGTACAGCTAAATGAGACAGAAAAGGATAAAAATTAGAGAACAAAAATTCAGTGTATAAATCAATGACTCAATCTACCGTGAGAGAGAAGGTTTAGGAACATGCAATATGGCTTTAGTGCTTGAAATCCCTGTTTGGTTGCTTATAACTCTGCTAACCCTGGATCTTCCCCTGCCAAGGTTCCCTCTTGAGACTGCGTGCATAGAAGCTGGCTGACCAGCAGATGTAGTGGCTGAGTCCCAGGTGCGGATATTACTAGTG